ACTGAACCCAAATCGGTATCAGATTCCTAGCACCCTGAATACAGGTAAATGCTGAAAGAGTGGTTTTATAAGAGTCATCACGTGCTCAGCTCCTTTTTACTAGAAGGCCAGTTGGGTTGTTTTCTGAATTCCATAGCCAGTTTTTGACTACTTAACTACAGACGGGCCTCTGAGCTTTGGGGCTGTCACTCCATAACCAAATGCTGAAATACTCTGCCCACCTCTGAACTCGAGTCTCTAAGTCCTGACATACACTTTAACACTGAGAGCTGTTTGACATCAGGGTGTGGAGATGCTATACATCATGTTAACTGAATATAATTAACATTCTAAAATAATAAACTTTGTGAGAGTGAGAGGATTTAAATAACGTGTCCTTTAAATATGTTTTCCTTTGTCTGTAATAACCCCTCTGAAAAAATGGTTTGGAACTACTAATCTGGGGACGATCTGACAGCAGTCACAGTTAATCAAATTATTACTGAACATTCACATTACATCTGTGGATGCTTCTAAAACAAGCAAACACCACGGCCAACTGCAACCGCCACGGGGAAATCATTAAGACAAGCGTGCTTTAGAATCTTGCCTATTTTATTACAGTTTCTGAGCAGATAACAATATGTCTCAAATGCATTGTATTTTTCTCTTTAAATGCATGTTTGCAAATATCCAGTGTTTAGTATTCTTCTCTTTAAATGCATGCAAATATCCAGTGTTTAGTGTCCATTCCCTTGAGAGTGTTATGTACACGCTAGTTTCCTTGGCAATCTCTTGAATTTATTTTATATTCTGTGTGCTTTTTTTTTTTTTATTCCACAGGATATGAAATGCAATCGGCAGGCACTGACACACACTGTATAGCTGAAGAAATCAGGACTAACAGTTCAGAGGAAAGAGATTTTTTCCAAAACTCTGTTTTTGATCATTGCTTCAGCCACATTCCATCTATCTATACCGATACTTAGAGTCCCAATTCATTGGATTTTTGGTCCAAGCAACGTATAAACAAATGCTTTTAATACACTTCATTTTGACTCTTATGAATTTCATTGTATCACAATCACCTGGAGATTTTTGCACAAAGTTTTATTTAAACTAAAATAAAACTGGAGCAAGTCAGTTGCACATTAATAACTCCACATGTATTAAAAATACATCAGTTAATATATTTTTGTTTTCTACTGATTTTGCAGCAGATAGAGTATATAATAATGATCATTCATTACACAAAGTTATTAAGAAAGTATCTCACCCTGCGATCCAGTTTTATTTTTTTATGTATCTATATAAGTTATGAACATGTAAATATATTTCCCATTGTATTCTACAGATCACTTTGTTATGGCACACCCAGTGTTCTCAAACAAACCTACTATATTTATAAAATTACATCCAATGTTGGTATTTGTTTTATACATTCTGTTTTATGTCAAAACATTAAAAACTGGACAGATTGTATTTATTTTTTTCTTGTGTTTTTCATTAGAATTAAGTGGAAAACAGTATTAAAAATGTACTCAAGCATTCAATATCTACACATTATGAAGTACGCAAAATTAGAGAATTAGGATTGTTAGCCCAGGTCTAACATAGCTTTCAAGGCAAAAATAAATGTGTATATATAGAATACAGGACACGGAGCAGTAAATTACCAGTGTTCTGAATTTATACTCGTAAATATGTATTTGCATTTTCCGGGCATTTGGCTCGCAGATCAACTGAGAGAGTCGCCAACAGAGGAGAAAATAGGAAGAGCGGTAAAAAAAAATAATCTAAATTTATATATTTTATATTTGTTTAATATATGTATAGTTTGGTGTTCAGGAATTTGGCTGAACACCCAATCAGCACACATTTGGTCAAACTGCAGTTAATTCCGAAACAAATCTCCAAGACTAGTTGCCAGTATGTATCTGTACATAGCAGACAGCATTCATAATAGATAACTACCATTCAATTTCACACTGTATTAATAAACTGACAATAGTTTCAGGTATAAACATCCACTGAGTACTTTATTCACTCCAGTAACGTTTCTTGTGCATTCTCGTTAACAAATTATTTCTCCCAGGAAATTGTTGGTCAGGTAGCAATGGAAAATATTCTTATAAAACCAAGTTACTATAGTACAAAATACAAATTATCGTATGTTTAAGTACATTGGCAAAACAAGTCACCGGTTGGAAGTTAAAATAGGAAAACCTTTTCGGAATATTAAAAGAAGTGTGCCAATCACAGTGTGTCTGTTCATTTTGCTTATGCATATCGAAGTGACTTTTGTCAATCAATGTAAAGGAGGTGACTACTTTAAAGATCTCAGTAAAGTAGAGATTCAATGGATGACTGACTTCCTTGGACTGGTGATTTGACTCGCACCCTAATTGGATTTTGGCTGCTCTGTGAGCCTGAATGTGTAATACTTTGGAATGAATGTTCATTTGGAATTCAAAAGTTTAATACTGTCACTTTAAGAATATTTGATTTATTGATTTTAGGCATTTTGAATTTAACAATATTCTGAAGCAATATAAATTGTGAATAATATTCCATAAAGCAAATGCAGATCCTTATTAGGATGGATTAACACAGTCCAATGACTTCAGTAGAAATATTAAAGTAAGCAGATCCTGATATGGATAGTATAACACAGTCCATAGACTACAGTAGAAACATTAAAGTGAACATGCATCAACTGTGCAGGTTATTTCCAGTAAAGCAATCATTATAAGGAATATATATGAACACAGAGGCAGACTTATGTATTCCCTAGAATACCTTAAATAACTGAAAGTATGAACTAAGTAGTAATCCCAGAAAACTGGAGAACTTAGCTTTATGGCGCAAGCCGGTTATAAGTGAAAGTCCTTTCCAGAATCGTGATTCGTAGTTTACCGAAAGTAATTTGGGAATTAGAGGTAAGCGTAGTCCAAGTCTGTTCCCTGTTCTGGGGGGTTGAGAAGGCAGC